TACCTGCCAAAAAAAAGTGAAGTTTTGTTGAAATCGGTTGAAAAATGTAGGAAATCCGATCCCATATATAAACGAACACACACACACACAAACAACCTCGGTTTTATAATAAGTATAACTCGATATGAGTTGTCCCCCTTTCATTCACGCGACAGCGATGCCTGTTAATCATGTTTTCAAATTGATTTCGAGCAAAAACAATTGTGTTTTTCCAATTTTTGGTGCTGTCAGAACCACCGCAAGGTAATTTTACGTAGTCCTGTGAAGTTTTGTTGAAATCGGTTGAAAAATGTAGGAAATCCGATCCAATATATAAACGAACACACACACACACACACACAACCTGGGTTTTATAATAAGTATGATGTTAGTCTACCATAAATTATTTTCCATCTTACAACATCTTTCCCACAGATGAAAGTGGCAGGCCTCTTACTAATCTATCGCTATTTCTGTGAAAAGTGTCCAGATGAACTACATCCCTTGATTTCAACAATTCTAACCATTAGACTTGTCATACCACGCACATTTTAAGAAATCACCCTCTTTCTCTTCATATTCCATTCCATGTACTGCTCCAGTAAGTGCCTGTCTCTTCTTGCTATCTTCTACCTTTACAAGAGTCAGATTAAGCTAAAAATGGACTACTGCTGCCATATATGGGCAGGCTCTGTGTTTTTTTCTACATATATTTTCATGGCTACTGCTCTGACGAGCTTTTTTTTCCCTGGTGTCCAGACTACATGAATTTAGGCGTGCTACTAGATTAGCATCTAGGTCACAGCCATTTACTGTTGAAATAATTAAATGGAATCGCCACTTCTACTCCAACAGTTTCTTTCCTCGTACGTACTTCCCGACATTGGAACTCCTTCATCTCACTTGCTGCCCTGATAACTACAATCTTCACAAATTTAAATGCAACGTCAATTGCCATCTTCTGTTGCCTTGATCCCTGTCTTTTTTTTTTCTTTTCCTCCTACCCCCTACACCCACTCTTTTCTCTCACTTTCACTCTCTGTAACTCCCTACGTGCTAGTGACACGTCTGCCTTGATTGGGGTGAAATGCTTGAAAAAAAACGGAGCTAACCAGTCTTCATTTTCCAGTCTCAATAGAGTCCAAAAGCATCTCCATGTCCTTGTGGTTGATGAATTATTTTCCATCCTACAATTCCTTTTTCACAAACAAAATGTCACAGGCCTCTTGCTGCTTTATCGCTAATTCTATGGAAAGTGTTCAGACGAACTACATTCCTTAGTTCCATCAGTTCTAATCTTCACGGTTAAGACCCAGCATGCAAACACTCTTCTAATTCCATTCATATTCCATTGCTAAAGATGCAGGTTCCACACGAGCAGCAGCTTCTCACGAACTGCTATTTTGTGAAACCAACCCCTAAGAGGATGCCTCCCTGGTCACTACAATCTTAGCCTGTTCAAGTCAAGGTTTAACAGTTATCTTCCCAACATATCCCCATAAACTCTGCCTCTGTAACGCTCTAGCTTTGTATAGGTGGAACAGAATTGTGAAAGAAAAAAATTAAAACTGAATAACTCCATTCTAGAGGAATAATTGGAGTATGATGAAATCAACATTCTAAAGAATTGTTCGAAAGCTATATATTTAAAAAAAATCTTTTTGGAATTAAATAATGTTGATGTACGTCTGGTGTTATGGATAATGGTGGTGTAATTGATAAAGGTTGATAAAAGGTAAAAAAACAAATCAATCATTTAATCCTTTCCCCTACACGTCAACAATTTTATGACCTTACCAGTCTAGAGGGTCTTTTTAAGAAAATCAAAATAGAGACTATCCTTGTCTACTTCAAGGAAGTTGGTCTATACCACTAAATAACTCCCTTCTAAAGGCATAATTGGGGCAAAGGATTATTTACAAGCTACATATTAAACCTTGCCCCTACAAGTCAACAATTTTATGACCTTTTTAAGAAGATAAAAGTAGAGATTATCCTCTTCTACTTCAAGGAAGTTGGTCTATACCATAAATTATAGCACTAAATAACTCCCTTCTAAAGGCATAACCGGAGAGTGATGGAACCAACGACCCAAAGGATTATTTACAAGCTACATAATTGATATGTCATAAAAACGAAAGAGTCAATCTTGAATTGCAATACCATTGCTCTACAGTAAACGTCCATCATAGGTACTTTTAGATTTATATAGACAGACAGGTGATACAAAAGCAATCACATCTCAGTGTAGAGCAAATGACTTTTGAATTCACTTTTAAATATTCCTAGGAAAACTGTGTGTTAAGTTAAATGGGGATAAAATAAAAAAATTAATAAATAAAGCAATGATTTTAATGGGTTATGAAGAAAATAAAAGTAAAATCATTTGTAAATTATTTTACTACAAACTAAGAAAACTGAATTCTGTAAAAGTAAAATCATTTGAAAATATCTAATTAATACAGAAAACAGACAAATAAACACCTCAATTTGGTGTAAATTTCTAGCAACGCTAGTTTCCTCATTAAATTTGGGTTTATTTTCATCACGAGAATCCGAGAAAAGAAACTATAAATTACTTATAAAGTTACAACCAAGGACCCGTAAGAAGGTAGTAAAAATGTATTTTTATTACGAAATTTGAAAATGAACTAAATAGGGGTCACTGCGTCGTCCCTGAAAGGTCAGTAAGGGACAGAGGATATAATTATCCAATATGGGACATGTCTAGTACTTAAGGAACGTCTGACAACCCTAAACTATCCTTGTCTACTTGAAGGAAGTTGGTCTATATAACAAATTAGAGCACTAAATAACTCCCTTCTAAAGGCGTAATTGGGGAAAAGGATTATTTACAAGCTACATATTTAATTTAAAAAAATCTTTTCGGCATTAAGTAACCGACACACTTGATATGCCGTTAAAACAGAAAAATTAATCAACCAATTAGTCTGATGGCGAAGAAGCCCCCATAATAAAGTGACCCTATTTTTGGACCCTAAATCTTGAATGTTTTAAGTTCTCCAAACATATAGGTCCGCTACTGGGTTGGATAACACTGGATTGATTGATTGGTGTGTGTTTTTTTACGGCTTATCAACCTTTTGTCAGTTATTTTAAAGCTAGATAAAAAAAATTTTGATTGTAAGAATTTTTTTTAGAGAAAATAATGATTTACTGATATATGTCCTACTAACTGATCCATACTTGCGGGTAGAAGAGGATATTTGATCGTAAATGAATATAACGAACCCGACTCGAATTGGAACTTGGCCCTCCGATTTCCAATTCCGAGCCGTTAGCCATTACACCACCCGCACATCCAAGCTTACAGTCCCTGATATTCCTAAGCGGCCAGCCATCTAGGCACTATACATTAAGAAAGTAGGAATGGAGCCTAGTATCTAATTGTTACAGAAGTTTGCGTTGCTTGGCTCCGCAAATATTCTGTTTCAGCTCGTTGGCTTGATGGAGAATACCCATCATGCAAGATCTCCGGTTGAAAATGAAAAACCGCACGTAATGAGAGGAGGAGGAGGGGAGGGGGGAGGAGGAGATGATGATGATGATGATGATGATGATGATGATGATGAAAAGAAGAAATTCATAAATAGTATAGGTAATACAGTGTAACCCGGATATAAGAGACCCAGATATAAGAGAAACCCGGATATAAGAGAACTTTTCTCTGGTCCCAAATTAGAGCCCATACTTACCTAAACAAAATAGACCAAACCCGGATATAAGAGAAACCCGGATATAAGAGAAACCCGGATATAAGAGACTTCTTCTCCGGTCCCGACAACTCTCTTATATCCGGGTTACACTGTAATATACACATTAAAAATAAATTAATGTACCTTTTTATTGGAGAGGGTTTCATGAACAATAACAAGTGCAATGGAATTTGGTTGGAAATTGGTGATTTTTAGTCTTAACTTACCACGATTTATCTATCGACTACCTCTGTGTGGTCCCATAATCCCAATATCGACTACTTTTTGTACGAAGTAAATATTGTTTGAATAGAAAGTAATGACGATTGAACTTACTCTAGGGACAAGACTAGTAAAATTGTATTGTGATTGTGCGGTTATTTCTATTCTGTTTTTCGATTGGACTGAGTAATTGTCAATGTGTATATGTTTATTTAAAAACGATAATCTCAATAAGCAAATATTTGCTCTCTCTCTCTCTCTTACCTTTCACCTCCACCCCCGCCGATTTTCTCTCTATTGATCTATCTTTTGTCCTATTTGTCGTTGGTCCGAACTTCGACTTTTCTTCTGGAGCGAAAGTCAGTTAATAGTTCGCCTTGACACATACTATATCATGTGAGGGCATTGATATTATATCTCTCTCTTTCCCTTCTTCCCTTCCCTATTTTTTCATTTTATCTGTCCTTCTCTCTCCCTCCCTCTCTCTCTCTGTAATACATTTTTTATCTTTATCGTAGCCTCTCCCACTCTCTTACATACGCTTTTTCATTTTTTTCTCTTGCTCTCTCTTTCTGTTTCATTTTTCTATCTTCATTTCTGTTTTTTCTCTCTCTTTTTTATTCCTCTCTCTCTCTCCCATTTCTCTTATCTCTTAAAATCTGGTGATTGAAAACACTGCCCGAACATACATTCCACATTTGACATCTGTCATGAAACAGGTCTGACATATAAAATATTTAATTGTTTAAATAAATTAGACGCAAAATACACCCGAGGAAAGTAGAAAAACATATCGGTGTTATGTATTATGTATTTTATGTATTATGTATTATGTTTTATGTATTATGTTATGGTATAAATAAAATGGTCGGCAAATTAAAGCCATAAATGTTCGAATCATTTAAAACTGAAATTAGCTAATCTGCAAATGTATACATCCGAACAGAAGTACTAAGAATAAGAGACAGCTACCTAATAACTCCTACTTTGCCTCAATAACGGCGGCTGTGCAACGTAGCATGGAACAAACGAAAAACTGCAGTCATCGCATAGGTATATCTATCCAGACATGTTCCAATAATCTACGACCATATCATGTTGAAACATCGATTCTCCTACGATCACCGAAGTTAAGCAACGTCGAGCCTGCTCAGTACCTAGATGGGAGACAGCTTGGGAATACCGGGTGCTGTAAGTATGGATGTGCTGGTGTTGTAATGGATAACGTTTCGAAATTGGAAACCGGAGATCTGAGTTCGAATTCCAGTTGTGTTCCTTATATTCACTTACGCACAAATACCCTTGGGAAAGGTATGAATCCATCGCTTCTCCCCCAGGCTACTGGTTAATTAATAGGACTTGTATCAGTAAATCATTATTATCTCCAAAAAATGCTTACAATTTAAAAATATTTTCTGGCTTTAAATAACCTGCAAAAGGACGATAAACCATAAAAGTAACAAATAACTCATTCAATCAATGGAGAAATATCAAATGAGCTATACAATAACAAAGAAACAAAAAATGGTTTACAGCCATATAATGTTATCATGTTGTTTTGTATGATGGCCGAAGTTAAGCAACGTCGAGCCTGGTCAGTAGCTAGATGGGTGATTACTTGGGAATATCAGGTGCTGTAAATCTGGATGTGCGGCTGGTGTAATGGATAATGGCTCTGAATTGGAAATTGGGTATCTAAGTTCCAATTCCAGTCGGGTTCGTTGTATTCATTTACGCGCAAATACCCTTGGGAAAAGGGTATGAGTCTACATATGTTCCCCAACTATGGGTTAATTAGTAGGACTTGTATCAGTAATTCATTATTATCTCCAAAAATCTTATCAACTTGCAATCTAAACATCCCTTCTCGCTTTAAATAAACTGCAATAGGTTGATAATCTGTAAAGAAATACGCAAAACAATCAAGGCTGTCCATAATTGTGTTCGTTGGACGCAGTTGCAAGGGATTTTGTTAATTCAGCAATATGTCCCTAAGATGCTCAGTGGGGTTTTAATCAGGCAAGCCTGGATATGTCTCTCCAGGCATCTTCCAAGTCTGTCTGTAATTGTGTTTGTTGGATGCGCTTGCAAGGAATTTGGTGAGGTTAGAAATATGTCCTATAGATGTTTCATCTGGCGGGCGAGAGAGCCAGTGGAGCATTTGGAAGTTAGTCGAGTATCCCCGGAACCAGTTTCGTGTCACCCGTGCATGATAGAAAATTAAGCTAGCTTGCTAAAACAAACCAACAACACCGGGAAAAAAATCTCGAGCGTAAAAGATACATGGGCTCTACAAGTTGTGTCTATGTCACATCTGTCAAGACAGACTCTCGATTCACTAGCGAACTCCAACGAAACAACCTTGCAGGTTGCACAACACCTTACTGACAGGCTGAATCTATAGCATAGTGTGGTTTCCTCTTCACACAAACCCGACTGTCTGCTCAAAAGAGCTAGATATATGACAAATCTAACCAGATGATAATGAGCCGGTCTTTCAAAGCCCAATGGTGAAGTTCTGTACTTCGGGTGAGTCATAGTATCCTTTGTTGTATTGTCAACAATGTCACCTTTGCTTGACTAAGCTCGGCTAATCCTGGCAAAAGATGATAATGGTGGAGAACGCAGTAAGTACTAATCTCAATAACCTAAAGAATGCTCTGGATTGCTAACCCGTTAATATGACGTACTAGGCCAGGGCGAGCAATAGTTAAACTAGCGACCCCTACATGAAATCTTTGATTCCTCATGGATCCGCAGTCATATAAATATATCAATAATAATTATTTGTCCTTTATTGTTATCTCTCGGTATGTTGACTGATGGGTTGAGTGACACCAGCGTTGAATTAGGATGTGATTCAATGCAACATTCTCTTTTTTTGTATGTTCCTCGATGTATGGGAGGCTTGATGGATAGCGGCTCGAAATGAAAAATAAGAGATTCGAGTTCGTTGCGTTCATTTGGGCGCAAATAACTTTGAGAAAGATATGAGTTCATCTCACCCCCAGGCTATGGATTAAATCGCTTTTTGGCAATCAGTCTAGGAAAAAAAAAGTAAGCAAGTTTCGGCGCTCAATATGTATATTACTCACTGAAAAAAAGGATTTTTTTTTTAAAAGGAGTCCATCGAGAATCTAACCAGACGATAATGAGCTGGTCTTTCAAAGCCCAATGGTGAAGTTCTGTACTTCGGGTGAGTCATAGTATCCTTTGTTGTATTGTCAACAATGTCACCTTTGCTCGGCTAATCCTGGCGGGCGAGAGAGCCAGTGGAGCATTCGGAAGTTAGTCAAGTGTCCCCGGAACCAGTTTCGTGTCACCCATGCATGATAGAAGATTAAGCTAGCTTGCTAAAACAAACCAACAACACCGGGGAAAAAATCTCGAACATAATCGGGCAGGTTGGTAGGTTGCATTGGTTTGCGCTGAGCCACAGCAACCATCTCTTTTCCTACAATCCCAGGGCACACAAACGTGCAAGGCGAGAGAAAACAGGCCGCAGGGAATGCCAGATAATATTTATAGTTATTCATTGCCTTCTGGTCTTTCCCTCAGGATTTTTCAGGCTGGTTTGAATTCAGAATTTTCCTTCTTCTTATACATAGCTATAGAAATCAGTCTGTCCTGCTATTTCCCCATAGCTGTGGGAAGAGGAGATGGATCCATACCTTTCTCAAAGGTATTAGCCCGTAAGTGAATATAACGAATTCGATTGGAATTCGAACTCGGCTCTCCGATTCCTCATCCGAACCGCAATCCATCATTCCACCGTGCCTTCATGATAAGGAATTAATGCAGGCATTATTGACAGAATAGACTTATTAAAATAAAAAGCCAAAAAATTAGAGGTAACAGTACACTGGATGGTTTCAACCAATGTTCCTTGTAGAAATGGACTCTGCTGGATATGTGACGTAATATGTAAAGAAGTCATGTGACAGCCACCAGACGGGTATAGAATTTAACACTGTTTTTTTGTTTCTATTTTTTTTTTTTTTAATTAAGCTCACCCAAAAGAAGGCAGTAAAGCCACTAAGACACAAGGGGTTACTGGGTGTGGAAGAATTAGAAAAACAGAGACATTACTATGGAGCGAAAAGAAGAGTAATCAGGAAGACATTAGATCGCGAGATAGAAACTCCATTTAAATAGTTGAATATTAAAGTTGACTGGAAACATAACGCCAGAAGAGAGTTTCACAAATATTGGAAAAAATATGTAATTTTTTTCATAAAGATCAAAAACAAAAAGCTAGGCAGTGTTAATATAATGGAGTAGAGGCAAAGACAGTAAGCAACAATACGAGAAGCCGAAATTAAATTTAGAATTTAACACTGTTTTTTTTGCTCCTATTTTTTTTAAAAATGAAGCTCACCCAAAAGAAGGCAGTAAAGCCACTAAGACACAAGGGGTTACTGCGTGTGGAAGAATTAGAAAAACAGAGACATTTTAATCGGGAGTAAAATAAAATCAGGAAGTAGATCGGGAAGTTTTGATGAGCGTGGTACCACCTCTTAATTGCTGTTGTTCCCAGGCCTACCCTACCCGGGGGTGGTAGCATTTGTTAAGGTCACAGATATGGGAAAATAGATGCCAAAGTCCAACTGTAGTCAATAATACGATACAATCATGATTATTGTCTATATTTCTGAGATGACGTATTGTAACTATTTACACTATTTTCATTATTCAAACTGTTATCTTCATCTCTATTGTCATATTCACGACGTTTCGGCCGTTTTAGCTTCTTCAGGTGATATACGTTGGAATGTCGAACCGAACCCTTCATTTAGTTCACTGGGGTAGATTGTTCTAGTTCCACATGCCATGCCTTTTCTGGATATCCCAGTTTCAGTTAATTCCCTTTAGTAACTCAACACTCCAAGTTTTTGTTCACCTCTACTGTGACTAGGTATTGAACTCATAACTCTTTGGGACATGTCATTGGATTATTTCAACCAACGCTTGTATCCACTGGGCCAAGTGTCGTTGGAGACGTGGAACTAGAACAATCTACTTCAGTGGACTAAATAAAGAGTTCAGTTCGAAATTCCAACGCATATCCCCTGAAGAAGACCGGAGCGTACAACAGCTGAAATATCGTGAATATGACAATAAAGATGAGAACAATGTTCAAACAATATAAATAGTGTAAACAACTATTATTATTGTTTTATTTTCCCTTTTACTGCCACAGCTTACTGTGACATTATCTAATGATTAGAATAAATGAATGTTTTGAAGCATGTCCTTCATAAACCCTGCCTGTGATATCACAGGCTGTGTAAACCGCCAAAGACGTTTCCTCTACATGTTAAGGGAAAAATGTTTGCATCAAAGATGTTGGCCTGAGATAAGCGATAAACAAGAAACGTAAGAGAAAACAGAAATTCAAGCTTTTACAAAGTTCAGCCTGACATATGCTGGGTATCTATCAGAAACATTAAGCTCAAGCTCCAGCTCCAGGGGTCCCCCCACCCCAAGGCAGTACCTCTCCTCCGGGAGGGAGCTGGGTTTATTGCCTGAGGCGTCTCCAAAAGGGTAACTGCCGAGGGGGGGGGGAATTTTTCTACGGTATTGCCGTTAAACCCGCTTTAAACCTCGACCTTGTGCCATATTCGCTAGTGACGTGGGTGCGCTGAAAAATAACTTTACAAAGTTCAGCTTTAATTGTGGGTCACAAAACCCACTGAGAATCAAAGTCATGCCAATATTAATCGTCCACACGACAGGCTTGATTACAACAACCCCACAACTACGTACCCGCACGAGCTTCTATTGAAATCATTAAGGCATCGTGAAATAACTTCATTTGTAGACGATATCTACGAAAATCACTATCAGTTGATTTAGTTTTTTTTTTAACATTTTTTAATAATTTTCTTTATAGTGAATATAATAAAATAATTATAGCTAGAACTACCAGACAGGTTGTAGTAAATATTAGTTACTCTGTTTTTTAATTTTATTTTGTTTAATAGACTTATTAAAATAAAAAGCCAAAAAATTAGAGGTAACAGTACACTGGATGGTTTCAACCAATGTTCCTTGTAGAAATGGACTCTGCTAGATATGTGACGTAATATGTAAAGAAGTCATGTGACAGCCACCAGACGGGTATAGAATTTAACACTGTTTTTTTGTTTCTATTTTTTTTTTTAATTAAGCTCACCCAAAAGAAGGCAGTAAAGC